GTGCCAGCATGCCATTCTCCGCAGACAAGATTTCAAAACATATCTCTACATATGTATATATATAAATAAATATAAATATAAATATAATTGGGATTGAAAACAACAAAGTCACATAACATCACAAAACAAAGTGTCTTCAACTCAACATGAACTCAAAGAACAATGGCGTTGCCATTTTCCACTGTCGCGTTTCACATTGAGGTGATGAACAGGTTGACTTTCTGCTGAAACTGTATGACAAGGTACATTTCTGCACTTGTGGATGTTGCTGCAATGAAATGAATGAAATGCTGAAATTCGTTTTTTCTTCGCAATAATATGTATATATATATGTATTATATAGTAGACCATATATCATATATCTTCACAGAGATGCCTTAAATGTTGTGCTTGTGAGGCTGGCGATCAGGCCATTGTGATTGACGAGTTAGAGGAACTCCTCATTTGTTGGAAACTTTGCTGAAACTCACCTTGGTGCGGAGAACTCACTGTTGGAATTTTCCTTACAGAATCAAATTCTGCATGTAGGTCTGATGTATGTCCTGATGTGATGCAACGTGATGCAACTTTGCTGAGGTTGGCATACATACACGGAGAATCGTGCACTCTTTGAAGACAAACTGAACAAGCCAGAGCCAGAGCTAACTACCAAACCAGCTACCAGTTGACACAATGAATTGGACATTCAAGATGTGCAATAGTCATGTCAAAGTATGAATGTGGATTCAGATGTGGTCCAATGATTTTGAAACATATTTGAGAAACTTCAAAAGTGTTTATTTCAGGTATGACGTTTCCAAGACCGGCAAACTCTCAAAGGAGGAACTGAAGGCATGCACTGTGTTACATGATTCTGGCGTCAGATCCGGTGCCACTTGGTGAATGGTGGCATGTGTGGCAATGAACACGATTTTATCAAATGGAGAAAACATCAACCTTGTCTTCTTCCAGTTCTTCCAGTTTTTTCAGTTCTTCGGACATTTTCATGTTGATGGCCGGATGCCAGGCCTACTTGACTGACTTGAACGGTGGCATCGAAGTGCAAGACAGTGAAGTGGATTGGGTGATGCAGGACCAAAATAATCGAATAAATTGATATAAATTGGACATTGTCAATTACATTGTATTTCTTAATGATTTCTTGAGTTCTCTGGACTACTCTGGACACCTCTTTTCTTCCAGGAGGGTGACATTTTGGGCGATGGGCAGCTTAACAAGATGGAGCTTTGGAGAGTCACTGCCTTGTGGATGCTCGTTTGACTCGTTTCAGTTTATTTTTTCAGTTTACTTCGTTTACTTTTCCGCCCAGCAACGTGTTCTTCGTGTTCTTCAAAGTTTGTTCTGGCGAAGGTGGTGAGCTTCCAGCCTTGGTCTGAATGTAGTATCACACTTTACACACTTAGTTTAATCTTAGTTTAATCTTAGTTTAATCTTAGTCCTGTTTGTTCTGTTTGGGGATTTGTTTAGTCCTGTTTATGCGGGGGGGGTTCCACGGCTGTCATCCCTGTGGCTTTACTTTGTGTTTTTGAGTGGCCAAGTGTTTTGCTTAGCTTAGGGGTATCGTCGGTATCGTATCACAAACCTCTCTTTCCTGGCACCTAGGGGTGGACTGTGGAGTCAACTTTCTCTTGTGGTTTCTCGTGAAGTCTTTTTCATATCTACTGGAAACGTCCTTCTTCAACAAAGGTTTTCCTATGTCGACAGCAAGAAGTCGAATGATTGCTGTACACTGTTGTAGACAGTGTGCACATGAAACTTGCTGACGTTTCACCATCTTTTCTGAATGGCAGAAATGCAATCTGTCTTTTGTCGGGTGATTTTCTATGTTGCGTGGATCTAGATATGCCCGAAACAGCTGTATTGATGCAACCACATTAGGGACCAGAATTGAGTTTGAAAGCTGTTCGAAGTTTCATTGTAGAGACCAACCTCTGCAGAAATTGTGGAGGTGAGATGGGACGCTGTGCATGATCACAAAGTGAGAGTCTTCTGTGTCGTTAATAGACTGATTGGTCTTTCTTCCTCATGTGTTGCACTGTTGCATGGTTACAGTATCCATTTGGTGACAGGCTCTGTAGGTTTAGGGTGAGGGCTCTAATTCTCGATGTAGAATCTAGTCTAGTGCTACAGCCATGGCTGATATGGCTGGTCGGGCTGTGTAGCCAGGAATTGCTTGAAAAAGGACAGGAAAAGATACCTAAGTAGTAACTTACTTAGTATACCGTATCAAGGCAGAAGGCTGGTGTCCTTGATTTCCTCATGTTGTGTCCTGCAACGGAAGAGAGCAGCCTAAGTACATTGAAAGAAGATAGAGCTTCAGTTTCTTGTTTCAGATGGTTGATGGCACTTGTACAAAATACACACAAAAATTACCAGTAGTACCGCACACGGCGGTGGCGGAAGTTTCAAAAATAGGAAACCTATAGGAGAGCTTGGTTGCTGTGACTCACGGATGGCAGAGCGAATCCACTGATGGACCGAAAGGTGGTTGGAGCTGTGTTTTTTGGAGTGGCTGCAATGGTTGCAGTGGTCACCTCACCACAACTGCTGGATGTAGTGTGGTGTAGTGCAGTTGTAGTTGTAGTTGTAGGTGTAGTTGTAGTTGTAGGTGTAGTTTTAGTGTAGTGTAGTGGAGTTGTAGTTTTAAGTTGTAGTTGTAATGTAGTGTAATTAGTGTTGTGTACTTGCAGTTGCCGTTGCAGTTGTGGTGTGGTGAAATTGTAGTTTACTGTTGTGTTGTGTACTGTAGCGTGGTATAGTGTAGTGTAGCCTAGCGTATTGTAGTGTAAAGTAGTGTAGTGGTAGTTGTAGCGAAGTGTAGTGTAGTGCAATGTAGTGGTAGTTGTCAGTGTAGTTGCACTTGCAGTTTTAGTTGCAGTGTAATGTAATTAGTGTAGTTTAGCGTTGTGTAATGTAGTGTAGTTGCATTTGTATTTCTAACTGTAGTGTGCTGCAGTTCAATTAGTGTAGTGTAGTGTAACGTAGTGTGGCTGTAATTGTAGTTGTAGCTGTGGTGGTGGTGGTAGTAGAAGTAGTAGTAGCAGTAGCAGCAACAGTAGTAGCAGTAGCAGTAGCAATAGCAGTGGCAGCAGCAGCAGCAGGAGTAGCAGTAGCAGTAGCAGCAGTAGCACCAGTAGTAGCAGTAGTAGCAGTAGCAGTAGCAGCAGCAGTAGAAGTACTAGTAGTAGTGGTGGTAGTAGTAGTTGTTGTTGTTGTTGTGGATGATGATGATGTTGTTGTAGTTTTAGTGTGATGCGGTGTATAGTGTAGTGTAATTATATAGATGTAATTAGTGTAGTGTAGTGTAGTGTAGTGTAATTAGTGTTGTGTAATGTAGCGTGGTATATTTGTATTTGTAGTTGTTATAGTAGTGTAGAGTCGATGTAGTTGTAGTTGTAGTCGTAGTTGTAGTTGTAGTTGTAGTTGTTTATCTATCTATCTATCTATCTATCTATCTATCTGTCTATCTATCTATCTATCTGTCTATCTATCTATCTATCTACCTATCTATCTATCTAATTAATCTATCTATCTAATTAATCTATCTATCTAATTATTCTATCTATCTAATTATTCTATCTACCTAATTATTCTATCTCATGATTCTATCTATATAATTATTCGATCTATCTTATTATTCTATCTATCTAATTATTCTATCTATCTAATTAGTCTATCTATCTACTTATTCTATCTATCTAATTATGCTATCTATCTAATTAGTCTACCTATCTAATTATTCTATCTAATTATTCTATCTATCTAATTATTCTATCTATCAAACTATTCTATCTATCTATCTATCTATCTATCTAGCTATCTGTTTTTCTGCAAGCTTGAAAACGAAGCTATCCTGCGAGACTTCTTCAGTTTTTGACCTTGAGAACATCAAAAACGCAGCAATCCTGCGAGAATTTGTGAATTTTTGAACTTGAGAACATCAAAAACGCAGCAATTCTGCGAGACTTCCTCAATTTTCGAAGTTGACAACATTGAAAACGAAATATTTCTGCGAGACTTCCTCAATTTTTGAAGTTGGCAACATCAAAAACGAAGCAATTTTGCGAGACTTCAATAATGGAAAGTTGAGTGCAGAGCTGACGGCCTGGTACCAATGCGCTTGCGATTTTTCCAGTCCATGTCTCTAAAGTATTGCGCCTGCCAGGAAAAAGTGAAGCCAGGTCATACGAAGTGGTGCACCTGTCACGCAAAATCATCTTAGCAAACCTGAAGATCTCATGCTCCAAAATGCAGCCGGTCTCAGGAAATCAGCGCCCTGACCTCCGAACAGCTCTCATGAACATGTCTCTTGTACTGCGCCTGCCACGGAAAATGCATCTTTGCAGATCCTCTGCATATGTCCCACGCCTGCAATTGTTTTTGGAAATGCGACAAAACCCTCACGTTCTTTCTCACTATTGACAAGGTGCACAATCCCTTGCGCCTGCAACACAAAACCGCATCCCAAATTCAAAACGTGCTCCGAGAATGGTGTGTTTTGTACATTTTGACTTCGGAATGTGCTTCGCGCAGGAACGGCGTGCACTTTTTCGACATCTGAATTCCTAAAAGTGCTCCGAAGCTGACGTGCTTTGCACATTTTGACTTCGAAATATGCTTCGCGCCACAACGGCGTGCACTTTTTCGACATCTCAATTCCTAAAAGTGCTCCGAAGCTGACCTACTTTGTGCATTTTGACTTTGGGATGTGCTTCGCGCCACGACGGCGTGCACTTTTTCGACATCACAACTTCCAAATGTGGTCCGAACCCGGTGTGTGTGTGTGTTGTGCATTTTGACTTCAAAATTTGCTTCGCGCCACAACGCGTGCATTTTTTCGACATCACAATTCCAAAAGTGGTCCGAACATGGTGTGCCTTGTGCATTTTGACTTAGAAACGTGCTTCGTGCCACAACGGCGCGCAATTTTTCATCTCTCATCTGGCCAGCTGGCTCCGCACCCGCCGCTTTAGCGCGCCTACTTTTCGACCCTCCGGAGCCACAAATCATTTGAAAACACAGTGTTTTGCGACTTTCTTACCTTTTCGCGCACCTGGACCTTCTTTCTTCTGAGGCTTTCTCTTTTTTGATCTTCTTTCTTCTTCTCTTCTCCTTTCTTCTCTTTTCTTCTCTTCTCTTCCCTGACTCTTCCCATCTCTGCTTTTCATCTGTCCATATTGTTGGAAGTTTGACTTCTAAACTTCATTCGATTATTTATTCTTACGAACTTTGGGATCAAATCGAAGGCTTCCAATGTGACGCTGCACGACATTGAATCAAAAGTGGCTGACTGAACGTGTAGAAGGGTCAAACATTCTACATATGAGAGACAGGCTTGAGCGCGCTAGCTCCTATACAAACAGGCCCAGACAACATCACAAATCAAACATGCCATTAGCCTGAAGCCATGCTTGAGATCAGATGTGGAAAGGCTAGGAAGCAAACACATTTCCTTGCGACTCTTCAACACATACTCCATTGGTTTTCCATATTATCCATCTCGTTTTTTTAATGCACGTGTTTTTTTGCTTTTGTGCTGTTGTTTTTCACATGCCATTGGAATTGCTTTGATGGGCATTGCGTTGGCCACCTCCAATGTTGCGGCCATTGCGGCAGCTGCGGCCTTTACAGTCCAGACTTGGGGCAGGCTGGCACCGAAGGTGATGGCAAACTCAACTGGAAGATTCATAGTGTTACTGCAAACTTCTTCGCGGTGAGAAATTGCCAGCATTTGAATCATTTCTGCTTAATTGAATTTTGTTTGATTTTTTTGACTTGTTCTGCTTCTCTGTGCAAGTGGCGGTGGCCGCGTGCAAGGCTTTTGTCGCAGACCCGATCATTGGGATGAGGAGCTAAGTACTTGAGGTGGACACACAAAAACATGCATATAGCGGTATACATGTTAAATAAGCATCTTATGATAAACACATGTACATAGAAATGCATACAAATACACATGCAAACACGCATACAAATAGAAATGCAAAAAAATGCAAATGCAAACGTAAACGCGAATAAACACATAGACGCCTACATTCATCCATCCATCCATGCATGCATACTTTGTAGAACCCCTGTTTGGCTTCAAGGCTTTAAGACTGCTTTTGCCGTTGTGGTGCACGGTACGTGCCTCGCATTTGACCCTACCCCAATGGTTTCGCATTTGACCCTACCCTCATTTTGGGGTAGGGTCGAATGTGAGAAAGTGGCGTTTTTAGCTTCGAAAAAAAGGTCCCGGAGATGATGATGATCATCATGATGATGATGATGACGGTGATGATGGTGATGATGATGATGGTGATGATGATGATGACGACGATGGACGATCATGATGATGGTGATGATCATGATGATGATGGTGATGATGGGGATGATGATGGTGATGATGATGATGATGACGATGGACGATCATGATGATGATGATGATGTCGCACATAACTTTGTCACACGCAACTTTGTCACACACACAACTTTGTGACACACAACTTTGTCACACACACAACTTTGTCACACATAGCTTTGTCACACACAACTTTTTCACATTAACATACAACTTTGTCAAAAAAAACTTGTCACTTACAACTTTGTCACACGCAGTTTTTTGTCACACACAACTTTGTCACACACAACTTTGTGACACACAACTTTGTCACACATGGCTTTGTCACACACAACTGTTTGACACACACCTTTGTAACACACCTTTGTCACACACCAACTTGTTCACATACAACTTGTCACATTCATTAACGTCACAATACAACTTTGTCACACACAACTTGTCTACATACAACTTTGGTACCAATGAATGTAATTGTTCAAGGGGTTGATTTGACACGAATGAATGTACTTGTTCAAGGGGGGCTGGTTGATTTGATACCAATGAATGTACTTGTTCAAGGGGGGCTGGTTGATTTGATACCAATTAATGTAATGAATGTACTTGTTCAAGGGGGGCTGGTTGATTTGATACCAATGAATGTAATTGTTCAAAGGGGGGCTGGTTGATTTGATACCAATGAATGTAAGTGTTCAAGGGGGGCTGGTTGATTTGATACGAATGAAAGTACTTGTTCAAGGGGGGCTGGTTGATTTGATGCCAATGAATGTAATTGTTCAAAGGGGGGCTGGTTGATTTGATACCAATGAATGTAATTGTTCAAGGGGGGCTGGTTGATTTGATACCAATGAATGTACTTGTTCAAGGGGGGGGGGAAGTTATGGTTGATTTGATACCAATGAATGTAATTGTTAAGGGGGGCTGGTTGATTTGATACCAATGAATGTACTTGTTCAAAGGTGGTTGATTTGATACCAATGAATGTAATTGTTCAAGGGGGGCTGGTTGATTTGATACCAATGAATGTACTTGTTCAAGGGGGGCTGGTTGATTTGATACCAATGAATGTAATTGTTCAAAGGGGGGCTGGTTGATTTGATACCAATGAATGAAACTGTTCAAGGGGGGCTGGTTGATTTGACACGAATGAATGTACTTGTTCAAGGGGGGCTGGTTGATTTGATACCAATTAATGTAATGAATGTACTTGTTCAAGGGGGGCTGGTTGATTTGATACCAATGAATGTACTTGTTCAAGGGGGCCTGGTTGATTTGATACCAATGAATGTACTTGTTCAATGGGGGCTGGTTGATTTGATACCAATGAACGTAATTGTTCAAAGGGGGGCTGGTTGATTTGATACCAATGAATGTACTTGTTCAAGGGGGGCTGGTTGATTTGATACCAAAGAATGTACTTGTTCAAGGGGGGTTGGTTCACGGATGGCTGGTTTGAGGTAGGGTCGAATAGTGTGAACCGGCTTGAGTTTGGCCTCATGTGGGGTAGGGTCGAATGTGAACCGGGAAAAGTGGGGTAGGGCCGAATGCGAACCGGGCAATGTTGTTTTTTCCTGGAAGGGTTGCGTATTTTGGTAGGGTAGGGTCGAATGTGAGGTTGCGTGTGGTTCTTGTGGAGTAGGGTCGAATGTGAGGCTGCGGTAGGGTCAAATGTGAGGTCTGTACCTTGGGGCACGGCAAGAGAAAATAGGGGCACCGGTGGGTCTGGGCAGGGGAAAATAGGGGCCAAGGTAGTGCGGGAGTGGGTTCTTGCACCCAGCTTTTTGGCACCGCTAATTTCGATTTCAAAATTGTTTAAATGCTGGCCGTTTCCAGGATGCCGATTGCTTGCGTCGTAAAGAGCAGCCCCACACCATCGAGTTGGGTGGCCAGGACCCCAGGCATTCTCACTGATTATCTGAGGAGCCAGCCGGACTTGCAACTGTCTTGCAGAGGGGACATTCCAAGGGAGCGGCATTGACAGGATGGGTTCGTGCTGTGCTTGGCAAACCGCTGCAACGCAGCGAAGCAGAGCAGGTTGGCCAATAGATTTTTGGTATAATGTTGAGGCCGCTAGATTCTCTTGGTGCAGATTTGTTTGCCACCGAAGCTGTGACTGATTCTTTATTTGCACTGTAAATTACCTACTTTTTTTATCCACACCCATCTTCTATACTACCTGCGGCTCATTGTCACGAAGAAGGCTAGCCCGTAGTTAGCTCTGCTGTTCGTCCAATTCGTTCTCCTGAGCCTTCTCTTTGAACTGGTTGTTTTTGAACACGGATAGAGGCTTAGGTTCGGTGCACAGACTTTTTGTGAGTCTGCACTTGGAAAAAAAAACCCGAAACTGATACCGCTGCGTCAAAAAAATCGTAGGCCTAGTGGGGAAACCGCGAACAATTAGATAACACAAGATACACTAAACTTCTTGCGCGAGAAAGCTTTACAGGTCCGGGAAGTTCCCTGCTCAAAGGGATGCCTCTTCCCGAATTGGCAATTGGATTCAGAGAGTTCCCCGTTCATGCGTTCTGTGTTTCAAGACTTGGTCATGGGATTGGATCAGCATGAAATTTGCCAGACATGACGCATGATGAGGTGCTCTAGATGCCAAGAAGGTTGCGGAAGGTTTCTGGACTGGCACGGTGGTTTCTGCGCTCTTGCGGTACCCACTCTTCGCTCTGCTGCCTTTTTCCAAAGGGTTTGTCGATTGTTTCTGGTTTTGGGAAGCTTTCCAGATTCGCCGGTTGGTGTCCAAACTCTTTGGGTCTTGGCTCTTCAGGGAATCTGCGCAAACCTTTTCTAGAATGATTTCCCAACCTGCTGGTACCTTGTCCGTCGAAGTTTGCTGACTCTGTCCCGGTTGTTTCTTGACGCGGCAGTTGGATGTCTCCACTTGGTTTCGTGCCTTAGACTGTGGGCCCTCTGGGCCTTGGTTGAACTGATCGCTTTCTGGTTGCTTAATAAATTGCACAGCTGTGCACATCCCAGCCCCACAAGGGGATCTTGTGCGCTTATGGTAGAGCACCCCCAACTTCTTAGGGTCTGGAATGGGTATACCTCCAGGGTTCAGGGCCCAGGGTCTTACCTGGTTCACAAAAATATTGTAGACTTTGAGACCCTATCATTGTAGACCCTCAAAACTATGATGTATAAGGTGTTAGTTTTTCATTTTAGACTTTTACCATTATCCCTTAGGGAACTTCCTGCTAGACCCTTGACATGGGGAACCTAGTGCAACCTTGTATGAATGGGAAAAAGATGCAGGACAGTTTTTTCCGGTTATCCGGGATCCGATGAAATATTCATGTAAGAATTGAAGATAGTTTAAGTATCCAGGCACGAGAGGAGTCGAACGCCTCGCGAAATTTCAGACAAAGGCCCAATGCGAAATTTCAGACAAAGTGCGGCGAAAGGTTGGCAAGATGTTTATTTTCCCTTCGAGCAAAAAACATAGGCATGCTAAGACACCCCATCTAAACCGCAAAGCAGGTCACAGGCCAAAAATTGCCAAAATACACTCTTCCATGAGCGCACAAGAAAAGACAAAGCGTTCAAACATGTTCAAAAGTTTGCCTCTTCTTTTCTCACTCTGAAGTCCAGGTGCCCCAAGCTTACCCAGCGCTCCAAGTTCGGCCACCCTCAGTGACAAGTGGGGCAGACCCCAAGCGCAAGGGTCTAACATGCTTTTCCAAGACCCAAAACGAAAGAAAAGTCCCGGTCAACTTCACCGTATATGATGACAGACCCCCTTCCCTGAAGTAGAAACAGCAACTATGCACAGCAAAGTGCCATGTTTAAAAGGCAAGCATTGCAAAAATACAGTCTTCCATGAACGCGCAAGAAAAGACAAAGTGTTCAAACATGTTCAAAAATTTGCCTCTTTTTCTCACTCAGTCTAGGTGCCCCAAGCCTCCAAACGCCTGGCCTCGCAGCAGCGAAACACCATGGAACTAAAGGACGGAGGGCCTTCGACAGACTTCCTGTGCCTAACGTCGCTTTCTGACGCGGCTAGAACCTAGCTCCAAATTCCAGCTTGCAAGCCTCCAAACCTTGGGTCCGCAGCTGCGAAGCACCATGGAACTAGAGAACGGGCGGGGCCTTCGACAGACGGCTGCCTGTGCCTAACGTCGCTTTCTAACGCGACTAGAACCTAGCTCCAAATAGCTCCAAATTCCAGCTTGCAAGCCTCCAAAACCTTGGCCTCGCAGCGCGGAAGCACCATGAAACTAAGGACGGCCGGGGCCTTCGGCTGGCAGCTGCCTCTGGCGCCGGCGTCGGAGCGTTCAAGCCTCCGGAACGTTGCTTCCGTTTTTCATGCGTCGTCGCGCCCTCTTTCTTGCCCATTTGGCGTTGCTTCTCAGGCGTACTTTCCCTGGTTCCCTGGGGTCGGCGGATTTTTTGTTTTTACATGTTTGTTTGGTTCCGCTTCACCGCCACTGGCTTAAGGCTCGTGTTTATGTACATGCTGAGACACTGTGGATGGAGTGTGCTTTCGCCAGCGTGGAACAGAATGGCAAGATTTGGGTTCTTGGGCAGGCTCGGCAGACCTTTTGGCTGACCAGAGAGCAGCGCTGTCAGGAGCAGAATGGGCGAGAATTTGCAAATACAGACCACAACACTATGAGTAGTTCAGGATCATTGAGGTTGTATCTTTTGGCCGATGTTTGACAGGGTGTACATGGGCACAAGTTACGAGTTACAGGTCGCTTGCAGCGTCTGACTTGTGTCAGGGCCACAACACTTTGCCAGATGATTCATGGTGCTCGCTACTGCACAGTATTCGTTCGCGCACAGCTCCTCTGAAGGCCCTCGAAATCACCAAGGGCTGATTTGCATTGCAAAAGTTGAATCATAGATTGACCCTGTACCACAAAGCAGTTGCACTGGCAGGACTGAATGCTATGTTAAGTATCACAATGTAACTGCAGAAGAGATATTGAGATATGCACAATTTTGCCACATAAGGTTTGCGATTGATTGCATGCTGAAGCCTTGAAGCAAAGCGGCTGACTGGAGATATGCTTCTCAGTGCGCGCAGAGGTGCATGTCGGAAAAAACGGAAAAACTGATCAACGATCATTGTCCAGGCCTCTGTCTTTTTCCTCTTCTACTGCTCGTCTGTGACGTTGGCATTTGAGAAGCTCAGGTGAGGCTGCGAAAGATGTTGCCATTGCACAAAATCCAAATGAACCCTTCAAGGTATGTTATCGAAGGAAGTTTAGAAGTCAAACTTCCGGCAATATGGACAGGTGAAAAGCAGAGCAGGGCAGAGGCAGAGAGAAGAGAAAGATTAGAAGAGAAAGAGTCAGAAGAAAGAAGATGCAGATGCGCGAAAAGGTAGGAAAGTCGCGAAACCCTGTGTTTTTCCAATGATTTGTGGCCCCGGAGGGTCGAAAAGTAGGCTCGCTAAAGCGGCGGGTGCAGAGCCAGCTGGCCAGATGAGAGATGAAAAATTGCACGCCGTTGTGGCGCGAAGCGGATTTCCAAGTCAAAATGTACAAGACACACCAGGTTCAAAGGATTGTGCACCTTGTCAAAAGTGAGCAAAACGTGAGGGTTTTGTTGCATTTCCAAAAACGATGGCAGGCGTGGGACATTTGAAGAGGGTCTGCAAAGATGCATTTTCCGTGGCAGGCGCAGTACAAAAGAAGTGTTCATGAGAGATGTTAGGAGGTCAGGGCGCTGATTTCCTGCGAGGGGTTGCATTTTGGAGCATCAGACCTGTAGGTTTGCTAAGATGATTTTGCGTGACAGGTGCAGCACTTCGTATGACCTGGCATCACTTTTTCGTGGCAGGCGCAGTACTTTAGATAGGTCGAGGAGAAAAATCGGAAAACGCATTGGTACGAGGCTGTCAGCTTTTTGAAGGAAGTCTCGCAGAATTGTTTTGTTTTTGATGTTGTCAAATTAAAAAATTGAAGAAGTCTCGCAGAATTGTTTCGTTTTGGATGTTGTCAAGTGTAAAAAATGAAGAAGTTTTGCAGAATTGTTTCGTTGTTGGACGTTGTTATGTTCAAACATGAAGGGAGTCTCGCAGAATTTCTTAGTTTTTGATCTTGCAGATAGATAGATAGATAGATAGACAGACAGACAGACAGAGAGATAGATGAACCATATCTGACTGGTTGTCTGCGGTCATTCTTCCTGGTTTCTGTTGCAATGT